ACTCTAAGATGATTAGAAGTAAAGGATATTAAGAGAAGATATGCATTCCTAAAAAAACAAAATTCAACTGAATAAATTTTAAAAATCTTATTGGTTTTATTCAGTGATTTATGAATAGGGCAGTATCCCATCAAGCAGGTAGAAAGGAGTTCTTTGGAGCTATGCAAAATGAAAGATTTTATAGGCAGAAGGGAGTGGGAACAAGGAAGTCATACTTGGACAAAACAATGGGTTGGTTATTACAAGGTGACTTTCTCTAGGGGATGACAAGTCTCCATTAGGCAGATTACCTAATGAGTGCTAATCAGGCAATTTCTTTTTTTTTTCTTTTTTTTTTAAAGATTTTATTTATTTATTTGAGGGAGAATGAGCGAGAGAGAGCATGAGAGAGGAGAAGGTCAGAGGGAGAAGCAGACTCCCCAAGGAGCTGGGAGCCCGAGGCAGGACAAGATCCTGGAAGTCCAGGATCATGACCTGAGCCAAAGGCAGTTGCTCAACCAACTGAGCCACCCAGGCGCCCTAATCTGGCAATTTCTGATTGACTGGTTCCAGACCCAATTTCTAGGACAGCCAAAATTGTAATGAAGTCTAAGTTTTGTGATGTGGGTCTTAGCATAAGTGACTCTATTTGGGCCTGTTGTCTTTAACAGCACATGCACACACAGACACACACACACAAGAACAAAACGAAAATAACCTATCTGAACCTGAGACTTAAAAGGAGAAAATTTCCATGTGGATCTGTTGATACCTTCTGCAGGAAAAAAAAAAAAAAGAAAGAAAGATTTCCACTAGAGCTATACTATAGGTTATGGGGATGGAAAATCTTGATCCTACAGCCAGTCAGTTGGTCCACAAAGACAGAAAACTTAGTAGGAGCCAGCCAACGGTGGAGAAAACACAATGCAGGGGACAAGACAGACACAATCCCATCTTTGAAGAGCTTCTTATCTAGAGGAGAGAGATACACAAATAAAATGGCAGATGATGATAGTGCTACAGAGAAATAATACAGGGTGTTTCCAGGAACGTATTAGAGGCACACCCAACCTGGAGAGTGGGAGTAGCCTGGACAGCCTCCTGTTCAACAGTGCTGAGTGAGAACAGAGAGCATAGCTTGTCTACATTCCTGGCCTCCCCTCTACCATCCACCAATTGCTCAAAGCTCAGAGGGAAGCTGGCAACTGTGGCTTAAAGGAAATGCTTGAATTTGAAGTCAAACCAGCTCTAGGCCCATCATCACAAGTTCTAAGACCTCGAGCTTCTTCATCTCAGTTTCCTTGCTTATAAAATGGGAATAATAAAATGTTTCCAAGATTCTAAGTGATTATAAGATGCCTATTAATTTAATAAAAAATTTTCAAGAACTGGGTAAGGAGAGGGAGAAATTTCTCTCAATTATAGGGACTTCCTGATTTCAACCACATCAATCTGTAAAAATATGCCCATCATAAGTTTGAGGAATTGTGGTGACCAAAGATTGTTTGTGAAGATTAAATGAGATTGGGGAGCCTGGGCCGCTCAGTGGGTTAAGCCTCTGCCTTTGGCTCAGGTCATGATCTCAGGGTCATGGGATCGAGCCTCACATCAGGCTCTCTGCTCAGCAGGGAGGCTGCTTCTCCCTCTCTCTGCCTACTTGTGATTTCTGTCAAATAAATAAATAAAATCTTTGAAAAAAGAAGAAAAAAAGATTAAATGAAATTATATGTGAGACTATACTTCCACACTGTGCTATGAACTGAGCATCTGTCCCCCCCCCACACACACACACAATTCATATATTCAAATTCTACTCTCAATGTGGTGGTGTTAGGAGGCAGGAACTTCAGGAGGTAATTGGGTCATGAGGGTGGAACCCTCATGAGTGGGATCAGTACCCCTATAAGAAAAGACATGATCACTTGCTCTCCTCCCTCCCCTTCCCCATCCATGTAAGGATACAAGATGATAAGTCTGCAAATGAGTAAATGGTGTCAGCAGACACCAGGTCTGCCAGTGCCTTGATCTTAGACCTGCCAGCCTTACTCGCCCCACCCTCTGCATGGCCCCACCTTCAATAATATACAAGTGACTTGAAAAAACATGGATAGGACATTCAATCCTGGGATCAAATTTCTTCATGAGTCACTTTTATTAAGTATGATATATTGTTATTCATTACTAATATAGAGTCTTTTAGAACCAAAGGGAAATTTAAAGTTCAATGAGTTCTTTCCTTAAATTTTATCACACAAAAAACTGAGAAACAAGACTTTTCTAACCCTATGGTATATGGCAAAGTTGGGAAAGAAAGAGGGCTGTTTTTTTTCTTTTAAGATTTTATTTATTTATTTAACAGAGAGATCACAAGTAGGCAGAGAGGCAGGCAGAGAGAGGGGGAAGCAGGCTCCCCGCTGAGCAAGCTCGATGTGGGGCTCGATCTCAGGACCCTGAGATCATGACCTGAGCTGAAGGCAGAGGCTTACCCCATTGAGCCACCCAGGCGCCCCGGAAAGAGGGCTTTTTATAGGCAATGTTGACAACTGTTAGTAATTATGGTTCTATACAGTGAAGTGCTGGATCTAGCTGGGTAACCTCAGCTCATATAAAGCAGCTGTAGAATACCAATCCCCCAAGTGAGCAATGCCTTAGCAACAGTGCAGCATGAGACTAAGCTGATAGGTTGTGGAACTGAGGTGGTGGTGGGGATGGAGGGCGCGTGAGAAATGCCGAGGTGTTCAACTCTGGTGTATTAGATGAGCTTCCTCCCCAAGGGAAACAAAATCATGCTCAGCCTGAGTGACAGGGTTATTGGAATTGTAGGTCCTCTGTAGAGGGAAAGATTTACATACCCCTCCAGCAGCCCTCCTAATGTCCCTAAGCAGTTTACCTTCGTCTGAAAATGACAAAGAGTGGGCCTCAGGTTTATGACTGCTTGGGGAAGGGGGCTGTTTACATTGGAATTGTAAGAGGTTATTACTTTCTTTGCGGTCACCAGGAGGCTGGGCTGGGCTGCACCGAGCAATCACAATGTGGAAATCACAAGAAATGCATCTTCAAGTGCAGTCAGTCATAGACCCACCTATAACTCATGCCAGGCATCCACAGCTTGATACTGTAGCCACTTTCCTGAAGGCTTATCAAAGTGTTGCAGGCAGGATCCAGCTCATTATGGCTTTTATCTATAGAGGGTGGATTAGGACAGGCTTGTCACCGTCTCCCTCCTTGGGACTTGATACCTGGCTAAATAATTATTCTAAGCTCTCTGTAGCTGAAGGGAAGTCAAGTCAAGTCTCTTATCCTCCGTGGGGTTCTATCTGGCAGGAGGCTGACCTGCCTGCGCTTCAACCTTAAGACAACCTGGGGCCAGGTGGCTCCGTGCAAAACCACTCGGAAGAGTCGCAGGATGTTGAAGCCGGAAGTAGGCGATACAATTTGTACTCAGGATTACTTCATTTAGTTCACATACATAATTTGACTTGTTTAACAGATGCAAGATCAGAGACTAAGCGTAAGCAAGTTGCTCAGTGTGGGGCGACAGGTCAGTAAAGGACCTGGCCGTCCCAAAGGTAGGGGCACCCCTCTCCCCCAGTGGTCTACCTGTGAGGGATCCCTGTCCTTAGACACCGAGCCGGAATCAGGGCTGCAGCCTTTTCCCGCTATACCCCGCCAGCCAGAGCAGCCCCCTCACAAGGTGACTAGCAGATGCCGAGTCTCCACGCCTTGCTTGGTGGCGCCTATCTTGTCTTTGTTTGGAGTAATGGAAAATCTGAGAACGGGGGAGGCGTGACTTCAATATTCATATCATTTTTAAACAAACGATTTCCTAATTTGTGTGTTTCATCCCTGGTGACTCTTCCGCGCCGCGAGCCCTTCCTTCTGCCTATCCCCACCCACCGAGCCCGCGGCCTCCCCCCATCATCCTTCCCTCCGCAGCTGAGAGAGAACAGCGGAGAGCAGACGAAACAGCTAGGGCCGCGGGTGGGAGGCTGTTCCCGGAGCTCGTGGCTGGCATGGAGATTTCCCCATTCATAAAATTAACACCTCTGCTCGCTGACTTCCCGCCGGCCCCAAACAGCCCCATCTGCCGCGGGCTAGGACTGGGTCCCGGGGGCTCTGTGCCAAGGGCCAAGGGGCCTAAACTAGCGCGTTTTCGCGCTTCTCCAGGGAGTCCCGTTTTAGAAATCCTATCTGGTGTCCTCAGTCTGTACGGACGACTGGAATCGACCGCGGATGAGAACTCTGGGTTGAAACCAAGACAGAAAATGGCTTGTGGTTCCGTCCGTAAATAAAACCTCACCCTTTGACTTCAGGCTGTCCGACATTTTGTGACTTGCATTTTTTGCTCTATCGTAGATTCAGGAAGCGCCCGACAAACCATGCCACCTATCCATTTGTAAACAACTGGCTTTTTAGGTCCCCTTCTACCCTTGTATGGTGATGGGTGGGAGCGCGGGAGCAGGCACCGGAGAGGACGGCAGGGGCGGGGCGGGGCAGGGCGTCGCACTAATTGGAGATGCAATCTCCATCCAAATAATACATTAGTATTAACAATGATCCTCTCCACGAAACCCTTAAAATTGGCCCTTGACTCCCGTCGCCGCAAAAGGCGAGCCCTTATTCGCTGAGCTGACGCCTCCTCGGCTCCCCCCGCCCCCAACTACTCGCTGCTCTGGAAATTACAACTCCTCAGCACGCCGCGCAGAGAGGCGGCGGCGGCGGCGGGAGGGAGGCGGGAGGGAGGCGGGAGGGGATTCCCGAGCCAGCCGGGCACTCGCCCTCCGCCCGCCGGCTGCAGCGTCGCGCGGCCAAGGTCAGAGGCGCCGCAGGAGCGGCAGCAGCGAACCAAGGAAGCGGGTCAATCCTCGCGGAGGGGAAAAAGCCCCGGGGTGCATTTGCGCCGGAGAGGGCGGCGAGCGAAGGTCCCCGAGCCGGCCGGGCTCCGCCGAGACAGTCGCTGGAGCGGCGACCCCGCACGCCAAGTGGCGGCCCCTCGGTCCGCGCGCGGGGAATCGGGCTCCGCGGCCCGCTGTGGGCGCTGTCCGTCGCCTCGTGGTGCTGAACCCAGCCCCACGGCCGAGCGGCCTGCTCACCCGCCTTCTCGCCTACGGTTCGCTCCGATTGGGGCGGGGCAGGGGCAAAAGGGAGCCCTTGAGCAGCTGCCCACTGGAGACGAGGGGCTGAAACAGAACAGCTGGAAACGGCAGCCCGGCCGCTGGTCCTGATGTGCAGAGGAGACGCGCGCTGCGGCCGGCGGCGGCGCTAGTGCTGATTCATCACCTAGAGCGCCTCACAGGCCATCGCGAGGGCAGCCGACTGGCTCTGGACTCTGGCCGCAGGTTGAAGCAGCCGGCGCAGGAGCCTCGCAGGCAGGAGGTGAGGACCCCCTCCCTTCTCTTGCCCCCAGCGGTCCTAGGGCGGTGGCCCCAGGACAGAGAGGGGCGTGCCCCGGGTCTGTGAAGTGGTCGTGCCTGTGTAATGCCCTCGCTTGCAGTCTCTCCGGTGCTAACCACGCTTGGTCCCCTCCGCCTGTCTCTGGAGCTCGGGTCGTTCCACATCCCACCCTGAGCAGCTCGGTCTGCCAGCGCCGCGATGGAGGAGGAGCTGAAGTGCCCCGTTTGCGGCTCCCTGTTTCGGGAGCCCATCATCTTGCCCTGTTCTCACAATGTCTGCCTTCCGTGCGCTCGTACCATCGCGGTGCAGACACCGGACGGTGAGCAGCACCTGCCCCAGCCACTCCTGCACTCCCGGGGCTCGGGGCTCCCGGCCGGCGCCGCTGCGGCGCCCCCTCTGGACCACGACGCTGCGGCTGGCCCAGCCTGCGGCGGCGCGAGCGGGAGCGCAGCTGGCGGCCTGGGCGGCGGTACGGGAGGTGGCGGGGACCACGCGGACAAGCTGAGCTTGTACAGTGAGACAGACAGTGGTTATGGTTCCTACACCCCGAGCCTCAAGTCCCCCAACGGGGTTCGCGTGCTGCCCATGGTGCCTGCACCGCCTGGCTCCTCGGCCGCCGCGGCCCGGGGTGCCGCCTGCTCCTCGCTGTCTTCGTCCTCCTCAAGCTCCATCACGTGTCCGCAGTGCCACCGCAGCGCGTCCCTGGACCACCGAGGCCTGCGCGGCTTCCAGCGCAATCGGCTGCTCGAGGCCATCGTGCAACGGTACCAGCAGGGCCGCGGGGCGGTGCACGGGGCGTCCGCAGCCGCTGCAGTGGCCATCTGCCAGTTGTGCGACCGCACCCCGCCGGAACCGGCCGCCACGCTATGCGAGCAGTGCGACGTGCTCTACTGCGCTGCCTGCCAGCTCAAATGCCATCCATCCCGCGGACCCTTCGCTAAGCATCGCCTCGTGCAGCCGCCGCCGCCACCCGCGCCTGCCGAGGCCGCCTCAGCATCCCCAGGCGCGGCCCAGGGCGCCCCCAGCGGAGGCGGCGGCTGCAAGAGCCCGGGGGGCGCCGGGGCGGCGGGGGGCAGCGCGGCCCGCAAGTTCCCTACGTGCCCCGAACACGAAATGGAGAACTACAGCATGTACTGCGTGAGCTGCCGAACCCCGGTGTGCTATCTGTGCCTGGAGGAGGGCCGTCACGGCAAGCACGAGGTGAAGCCGCTGGGAGCCATGTGGAAACAGCACAAGGTGAGCGCAGGCTGGGCGAGGCGGGGGGTGGGGGGCGCACAGGTGCAAAGAAGAAGGTGCGAGAAGGCTGCCTGGCCTCTTCCCTGGAGAGTTGGCAGAAGGCAGGATTTACTTCTTTCATTCATTCCCTCATCATTTATTTGACAAACGATGAAATTAATCCAGATACTCTGAACCAGGTGTGGGGAAGGAGAAGAGCATGGAAAGATGATTTAGGTGATCCCCTTCCCCCTGACAGTGTATGATTCTGCACAGAGGGCACCCAGAATGCAGAAGCAGAGCTTTTTCACTCCCAAAGTTGACAGCCCTTCCAGAATTATGACATTCAGGGCCCCCTTCTTCAGTGAAAAAAGATTTTTTAAATGCAAGTGTTCCCACCCACTTGCAGGAAAATGTCTGAAGTTTCCCCACTCTTGGTTCATCTTCCCTGAAGGCAGCAAGGATTCTATCCTAGCCGTCAGTGAAAGGACACACTAATTCCTACAGAGCAGAATTCCCCTCAGCTTCCAGAGCAGAAACTTGGCTACTTTCTCAAGAAGTCTCCAGCACTTTCTAGCCCCAGAATGCCTCTGGGGAAGACATAATTCCTCCTGGGCCTTATTTGAGAATTTGGGTGTGTGCCCTTTTAAGAAGGGAGCATCATTTCCCCCCAGAGACTTTGCCTTGCTGGGACTCTGCCCCTAATGGCAGCAGAAGTATGGGGGCCCTGTAGAGCAAGCCATACTTTCCTCTGCAGGCTGCTGCAAGCCTTCTTCCCCAGTGACTTGCCTGGGGCTGCCACCTCCCTAGTGAAAATGGAACAGACTCTAAGTGCCAACTCCTGCCTGTCAATGTGTCCTTGGTACCTGTCCCTGGGAGGGAAAATCCTCAATATTATGTCACATCCTTGTTCAGGTTCCCAGGCAAGAGTGGGGTCAGTTCTACTAATGAATTTTCACCTTAATTTTCTATCCAAAGGCCAAGCCATACAACTGGACTCACAGGTACCAGAGGTCAATGATTCTGGCCTAACAGAGTTAGAGTCCCTTGTCTGATGAACACAACTATATCTGCAAATTTGTACACTTATCATTCAATATCCTCTTTCCAGTAAACTCTCACTCCCCAAAGAGGCAGAGGTCTCTGAATGGCCCATCAGGAACTATGTATTCTGCTTGAGGAGGAAAGACATGGGAAAATAAGCAATTTGCCATGCTTACCTTGCATCATCCTACTGGAAATGGACAAAAAAGGTAGCATAGATGAGAAGAGAAGGAACTAAGCATTCCTCTTATAGATTTGCTATATTTAGTTACTATATCATTTCATCTGCTACAATGTGTGTGCTATTATTATAATTTAACATTTTCAAATAAAAAATCAGAAAAGAAATGGGGAAAACATCAGACATCCACATTGGAGTAGGAAATTTGCAGAAGAGACATCATTTCACAAATAAAATCTTTTGCAAAAAGGCTGTGATCAGTTATCAAGACAAGAGGTGTAGGTTCACATTCAGATTTCACGAGCTCTTACATTTTCACAGCCTAGAGGCCAGAATTAATTCTAGGTGTTGCCATCTAAATCTTTAGGCTTAGTGGAGAATGGAAACCAACATGAATTGAGAGGAGCATGCAATCTTAAAAGAGACTAAGATTCTTGCCAGGAAAAGTAAGTTGGATTATGATCTATGGTTTCGAGAACCAAGATTATGCAGGAAAAAAAATCATTGGTCATCCCTCTCTTGGTATCCATAGCACTTTTAGAACATTTCTATCCTCAACCAACAATGCAAAGTTATAAGGAAATATTTTAAGCACAGGTGATATTTGCTCAACAGAGTGGGAAAGTTATCTGTGGGAAACAGGACTACGCAGAGTCTGGTGTCTCAATTTTATTTGCAATGCCACAGCTTCAAGGAACTAAGACATACTCCCAAATCCAGAAGGAATGATGTGAGATACTTTTCAAGAATGAATAGAAGTTCTCCTGTTATCTTTTAGCAGGTGCTATTCTTCTACAGAAAGGACAGTTGTTGAATGCTTACTATGAGCAACTCGACGAGGGGCTAGGGAGCACAAGTGGAATGTTTGGTCTGGTTTTGTGGACAGGCTTCTAGACCTCCACTGTGAGGGTAGCTACTTTTGAAAGAGAAACTGGAACACTCAATTTCACATGCCCACCGGGACAGTTTAAGTTCAGTGAAACTTAAAGCCTCTGTTGTTATCATCCAAAAATCCCAGCAGCCATGACAAAGCCTTGTGGTACTACCAGAACTAGATTTGGGACAGAAATACTTCCCTAACATGCCTGTGACTGCAGAAGCCTTCCTTAAGGCCCTGCTCTAATTCCTCCCAAGCGTGACCAGAGTTTGTCATCTAATTAGTGATTTTTTAGCAAAGAGACATCTAAGTGACACTGAAATCTATTTTAAAACAAGGTTGATTATCACCTTTTGAAAACAGTGTAAAAACTTTAGGTTTAGGGGCGCCTGGGTGTCTCAGTGGGTTAAAGCCTCCACCTTCAGCTCAGGTCATGGTCTCAGGGTCCTGGGATCGAGCCCCACATCGGGCTTCTGCTCAGTGGGGAGCCTGCTTCTCTTCCTCTCTCTCTGCCTGCCTCTCTGCCTACTTGTGATCTCTGTCTGTCAAATAAATAAATAAATAAAATCTTTAAAAAAAAAACTTTAGGTTTGGGCTATACACATTTTTATGAATTCAATTTCTTATTGAAGTATAATTGGCATACGATATTCTATTAGCTTCACATGATTCGACATTTATATACATTGTGAAATGACCACCACAATACATCTAAATTACCATCTGTCCCCATACAAAGTTAATACAATACTATCGACTGTATTGCCCCAGCATGTACATTATATCCTCATGACTTAGTTATTTTATAACTGAAAGTTTGTATCTCTTGATTCCCTTCACTCATTTCACACACACCCAAACCCCTTCCTCTCTGGCAACCACCCCTCTGTTCTCTGCATCTATAAGTCTGGGTTTTCTTTTGTTTATTTGTTTTGTTTTTTAGAATCCACTTATAATGAAATCATGTGGTAGTAGTCTTTCTCTGACTTTTCTTTTTTTTTTTTTTTGAAGATTTTATTTATTTATTTGACAGAGACAGAGAGAGATCACAAGTAGGCAGAGAGGCAGGCAGAGAGGGGGAAGCGGGCTCCCTGCTGGGCAGAGAGCCCCATGTGGGGCTCGATCCCAGGACCCTGAGATCATGACCTGAGCTGAAGGCAGAGGCTTATCCCACTGAGCCACCCAGAAACCCCTCTCTGACTAATTTCACTGAGCATAATACCCTCAAGGTCCATCCATGTTGGCAGAAGTGGCAAAGTCTCATTCTTTTTATGGCTGAGTAATATTTGCACGTGTGTGTGTGTGCACGCATGCTTGTACCACATCTTCTTTATCCATTCATCTACTGATGGACCCTTGGATTGCTTCTATATGTTGGTTATTGTAACACATTTTTAGATGATTCTTCTGGAAAAGGATTAATCATTTCAAAGAACCTCTGATGTGAAGAATCATGTTGTGAAAGATAGGACACAGAGGGGAAGCTTTCAGGAGAGCTTCTGTCTTTTTGCCTATTCATGATGGATCTCTAATTGTCCTGAAGCAGGGGGAAAGGATCATTGTGAGCTCTTTCTCTCCCATAGAGTGACATGTCACAGAATGTCAACCAAGTCTTCCGTAACATCTGCTGGGTCCAAATGGTTAACCCTGAAATTAAAATGAGTAGAAACTGGGGCACCTGGGTGGCTCAGTCCTTAAGCATTTGCCTTTGGCTCAGGTCAAGCATCTGCCTTCAGCTCAGGTCATGATCTCAGGGTCCTGGGATCAAGCCCCGCATCAGGCTCCCTGCTCAGCGGGAAGCCTGCTTCTCCCTCTCCCACTCCCCCTGTTTGTGTTCCCTCTCTCTCGCTGTCTCTCTCTGTCAAATAAATAAAATCTAAAAAAAAAAATTTTTTTTTAATGTAAAATGGGTAGAAATTGATTCCTGAACTGAGGTATAAAATGCAGGATAAATCCTTCTTTAGAAATCTTTGGAGAAGCCTGGAAAATAAGAGAGTATTAAAACGAAATCTTGTGGGGCGCTTGGGTGGCTCAGTGGGTTAAAGCCTCTGCCTTCGGCTCAGGTCATGATTCCAGGGTCCTGGGATCAAGCCCCACATCGGGCTCTCTGCTCGGCGGGGGGGCCTGCTTCCTCCTCTCTCTCTCTGCCTGCCTCTCTGCCTACTTGGGATCTCTGTCAAATAAATAAAGTCTTAAAAAAAAAAAAAGAAATCACCCTGAATAAGGTCCAGTACATTAAAAAAATAATAATAATAAAAATAAACGAAATCTCGTTGATACCCTAGGATTACCGTTCCTAATGAGTCATCACTTCACAAGAGCAAAGGAGGTGATGAGGTCTGGAAATCTCAGGGAAAACAAGATGTCAGGCTCCTCTCATGTCCTGAGGTTCTGCCAAAGGGCACGTGGCTTCTCGGCACTGTGTTCCTAACCTTGTTTTATAAAAGGGATAAGGAAAGGCGTTTCCCCTTTAGAGCCTCAGAGGAAAGATTCCTCCATTAAAAGAAAAAACACAAAAATAAGAAAGGCAGAACATGTAATCATGGCTGAACTATGATCAGAAGTACACTTACTTGAAATCTGGTAGTACATTCTAATTTGGAGATGAAAAAAATTTCTGCTTTAGGTTTTTCTTGTAGAATTCTATCATACATTCGTGTCTTCTTCTTTAATAATACAATATAAATATATTTTCTGTCAGTTAACGTACATCATTTCTGATGACTGCATGCCATTCCTTCATAAGGATTTAATATTTTATTTGATCAAAGAGTCAGTGCTGGACTTTAGATTGTTTTCAGTCTTTTGCCGCTATAAACATCTTTCTAATCAAATCTATGCCTATGCTCTTAATTATCTCCTCAGGTTAAATTTCTAAATATGGAGATGCTATGTGAAAAGATATCTGGCCTTAAGATA